CCTCCAGCAGGTTTTCAGACAATGTAAATAGCAAAGGAAGAGACTATTTTTCTCCCATGGAGCAGCTGGTGGATTTGAACCTCATGCTTTTGGGATTGCAACACACTTCTTACTAGACCACCAGAGCATCTGTCCTGTTTTTGTTATGACATGCCGTCAAGTATGACTCATAGTGACTCTATGAACAGCAAAGGAAAACCCTGTCCTATTTTTTGCCGTCCTCCCAATCTCTGATACACTTGAGTTCATTGCTGCAGTCACTGTGCGAATCCATCTGCTTAAGGGTTTTCTTCTCTTTCGCTCTCTCTCATGACATCCTTCTCCGAGGAATAGCCTCTCTTAGCAATATGCCCTCCTAGCAATATGCTCCTAACAACAGCAGAGCTCTGGTGGCCCAGTGGTAAGAAGCTGCCCTGCAAACTCAAAGGAACATGGCAGATGGAATCCATCAGCTACTCTACAGAAGGATGAGCTACCTCCTCCTGTGTGATTTATGCTATCGGTCTATTCCTACTCTGTAACACATAGTAATAACAATATGTCCAAAATATATGAAATGAAGCTTTACCCTCTTTGCCGCTACGCTAAGGAGCAATCTGGCTGTACCTTCTTTAAGATTTATTTGTTGTTCTTTCGGCAATCCATAAGACTTTCAGCACTCTGCTCCAACACCACAGCTCAAAGGCATAAATCTTTCTTTTCTCATCCTTATTCATTGCCTTGTTCTTAGATGCATAGCAAGTAATTGTAAAGAGCATGGCTTGAATCAGGTACACTTTAGTCCTTAAACTGACATCATTCTTGGTTTTAGGTGCCATTGAGTACAACTCATAGTGACCCTATGAACAATGGATCTGAACCCCACCCTATCCTGCGCCATCTTCACACATTCTGGAACACTAGAGCCCATTGCAGCAGCCACTGTATCAATCCACCTAGTCAGGGGTCTTTTCTCCTTCATCGACCTCCACCCTTTTAAGCTTCCTGTCCCTCTCCAAGGAATCCCCCTCCTAGCAATATGCCCAATGTGAAGGAAGCCCCATCATCTTTGTTTTAGAAGAGCACTCTGGCTGCACCCTCTCCAAGATATATTTGTTTGTTCTTTTGGCAGTCCATGAGATGTTCAGTGCTCTTCTCCAACATTGATGCTCAAAGGCATCAATTCTTCTCCTATTATCTCTATTCATTGTCCAGCTCTCAGATGCATAGTAAGTGACTGGAAAAACCATGGCTTGAATCAGACACACTTTAGTCCTTCAACTGACATCATTACTGCTCAATAATTTAGAGAAGTCCCTAACTATAGATTTTCCCAATGCAGTGTATCTCATTATTTTCTGACTGCTGGTACCAAGGGTGTTAATTGTGGATCCAAGTCAGATGAAGTTGTTGACACTTTCAATCTCTTCTCATCCATCATGATGTTGCCTATTGGTCCAGTGCTTGTAAGACTCTTTATTTTTGTGATTTTAACAAAAGTTTAAACTGTACTGCAATCCCAGAGGTGCATGGTTCAAAGCCACCAGATGCTCTGCTGAAGAAGGAGCAACAATCGCCTCCTGTACCAGTCAGATCCAATTTGACGGTACACACATAAAAAGAATAAATAAATTAAAAAAAACAAAACAAAACAAAACAAACACAAAAATTTACAAAAACCGTGGATTTCCATTCATTCATTGTTGCACATTTTCCTCCCTGCTCTCCCCAGTTCGCTTTTCTCTAAAAAAAAAATTCTTTCATTGTTGCACAATTTCCTCCCCTACCAAGTCCACTTTGCTATGTACCTTTTCCCTCTCAATTATTGTCATGCAAATAATGCCTAATCATATATTCTTTTAAACAGTTCTTTCCCTCATCTATTTCAATGCAGTGTTCATTATTTATCCTCTTTTTTCTTAATTTCCCCATCCCCCTTTTCAGTATTGTTTTATAAAAGTGGCATTATGCGTGCTCACTTCAGCAGCACATATACTAAAATTGGAATGATTCATATAAGATTAGCATGGCCCCTGTGCAAAGATGACATGCAAATTCATGAAGCATTCTATATTTTTGTTTTGTTTGCCAGAAAAGTGCACCCCGTATGGTCTCCCTTCTCAGCTAGAACTATTATGCATGTGCAGGACTATTCAAATATTTCATAAACAGTAGTGCACAATAAATTCCTAAACAGTAGCGCACAATAAATTCCATGCATGGACCCCCATGATACATCTTCAAGGATATGAACATGTACAGCCAAGCACAATCAATAAGAGTGCATCTAAATTCCAAAATCAATCTCCATAATAGTCTATGTGTTTCCTACTGCCAAAAGGGCCCTTTAGAGTAGTGAGAGAAGATCTTCACCCTGAAACCCACAGCGTCCCTTTTCAGCAGGAAGTAGCTAAGAGAATACGCCATCCCCTTTTCCTTATGAATCAGGGTGAAGTCTCTCTCAGGGAGGAGTGATAGGGAATGGCAAAGGACACACAGACAAAGAAGATTAATCAGAACTGGCTTTGACAAGCACTGTGGCATTTGGACAAGAACAAACTGGGAGGAGGGTAGAGAGAATAGTGCAACAATGAATGAATGGAAACCCAAAATCTCTGTAAATGTTTATGAAAATTAATAAAATATAGAAAAAAAATTCCATGCGTGGATTGCTGCTCCTAAAAAAATAAGTGTACAGCAATGAATGAATGGAAATCCAAAATCTCTGTAAATGCTCATTAAAATTATTAAAAACAAAAAAGTGGCATTATGCAATATTTATCCTTTTGTGACTGAGATATTTCACTCAATATAATGTCTTCCAGGGACACCCATTTTGTAAAATATTTTATGAGTTCCTTGTTTTTCAGTGCTGCATGGTATTCCATTGTGTGACTGTACCACAGCTTATCTATCTATTCATTGTTGATGGACACTTGGATTGCTTCAATCTCTTTGCAATTGTGAACAATGCAGTAACAAACATAGATGTGCAGTTGTAAGAATCTTGTTTTCTTGACATTGAGATGCAATCCATACCAAAGGCTGCATTCCTTGATCTTCTGCAACAAGTGCTTCAAGTCCTCCTCACTTTGAGCAAGCAAGATTGTGTCCAATCTGCATAAAGCAGGTTATTGATGAGTCTCCCTCCAATCTTGATGCCACTTTCCTCTTCATAGAGTCAATCTTCTCAAATAATTTGCTCAAGCATACAGATCGAATAGGTAAAGAGAGAGACTACTACCCCGACACACTCTTTTCTTAATTTTAAACCATGCAGTGTTCCTCTGCTTTGTTTGCCAGACAGCCTCCTGGTCCAGGTATAGATTTTACATGAGCATAATTAAGAGTTCTGGGGCTCCTATTCTTCTTAATCCCAGGCACAACTTATGATCCACAAAGTCAAATGCCTTTGCACAGTCAAAAAGCAGAAATAGGCATTCTTCTGGTATTCTCTACTTTAAGCCAGAATCAATCTGATATCCCTAGTGCCTTGGCTTCTTTGAAATCCTGCTTGAAATTTTGGCAGTTCCCTATCTAAGTGCTGTTCTAGCCTTTTTTTTGAATGATCTCAGCAGTATTTTTCTTGCATGTGATATTTCTTTAAATTTCACCCCACCCCCTTGCATATGATATTAATCATATTACTTGATAGTTTGCATGTTCTGTTGGGTCACCTTTCTTGGCAATGAGACCAAATATGGATTTCTTCCAGTCTGGTCTGGTGTAAAGACTGATTTGATATTAGAGTTACAAACTAAATTGGCAGTTAGTTGTGTTTGGGAAGAATATTACATTGTTCTAATTGGTAAAACATTTGTCAGTTTGTTGTACTGAGATAACTTGTGGGTTGCTGTCATATTGAATGCTGTGCCACTGGTGTGTCAAATGCCATACAGGTTATCCATAATGGGCAGGGGTTTTATTTTATTTTATTTTTATTATTTTTTGTGTGTACCGTCAAATCGGATCTGACTAGTACAGGAGGAGATTGTCCCTCCTTCTCCAGCAGAGCATCTGGTGGATTTGAACCGCTCTCCTCTGGGGATTGCAGTGCAGCTTCTTGCCACTAGGTCACCAGAGCTCACCCATAATGGACTGGTTTTAATACAGCTCTCAGATTAAGAGACTAGGAAACAGGTTTCACGATCCACTGCTTAAATAACGAGCCTTTGAAAACCGTAAGAACACCAGAGGAACTGACATAACTCCTCAATAATTTGGAGAGGTCCCTGACTACAGTCTTTTCCAGTATGGTATGTCTCCTGATCTCTTGACTGCTGGTACCAAGTGTACTGACTGTGGATCCAAGTAAGATTAAGTATTGCCAGTTTCAATCTTTATCTATTATCTATCATGATGTTGCCTACTGGTCAAGTGGTGAGAATGTTTTCTTAACATTGACATGTAGTCTGTATTGAAGGTTGCAATGTTTTAACCTTCTACAGCAAGTGCTTCGAATCCTCCTCAATTTTAACAAGTTGTGTCATCTGTATAGCAAAGATTACTCGTGAGTCTTCTTCCAATCTTGATTTCACATTCCTCCTCAGAGAGTCCAGTTTCTTGAATAATTTGCTCAGGATTAAATAGGTACAGAGAAAGTCTACCATCCTTACATCCAAAGAAACTGTACATGCCTTGATGTGTAAACGGCTAGAAGAGAAGACTGTCTACAAAGATGTGAAGTGCAGCCTATTTTGATGTGTTTGATGAATATATTTTGTTTTTGCACGTGTCTTTGCAAATCTGTGTTTGGCGTGCATGCATATTTAATGTTATCGCCATTGTAAGGCACTGAGCTTTAGCAGCAGGAGGAGGGACCTGCTGCCAGGTCCAGGGAGGGAGGTACAGAAGGCCGGAACAGTTACACTCATCTAGAGCAAGGGTCTGAAGCAGAAGCAAGGGGTCTTGAGGAACCTGCTGACAGTCACCTCTGATACTCCTACACTCCCAGGGGTAGTGTCAGAAGCGCACCGCACGAAGGCACCAGAGCGCACGCAAGGCTGCACGCAGCCGCGAGAATGGAGGAGGAGCTGGCGTGGGAGACTGACGGCCGTGAGTCCACGCGCGCGGGCCTGGGAACAGCTGCGGGCAGAGGCGCGGGTCCCCGGGCAGGCACAGCCTCTCCTGTCCTCCTAGGGCCAGCCCTGAGCTCTGGGACTTTAACATCTGCACTGCTGGCTGCGCTGGCTGGGCCAGGGCTACCAAGTGGATCCTTCCCAGTGGGGGTAACCAAGGTTGCAGTTAGCATGGCACCTCTGTCTCGGGTTGTGTTTTTGTTTGTTTGTTTTTCCGCCACGCAAGTGGAGGGATGTTGCCTCAGGCATCTCGGGTTCTAAGAAGATGCTTAGTGGGAGAAAAAGAAGCTGCTGTGGAGGAGACATTAGCTAGAAATATTAATGGTAATTGTGTTGTGCGCTGTTAAGCTGATTCCAACTCCTAACAAACGTAAAGGATAGAGTAGAATGGCTTGGACTGGTGGAACCACCGATCTTTTGGTTACCAGGTGGTAAACAGCCAAGTGAATCTAACCTTAATAATGATTTTTTTAAAATCATACCCATTGCCGTGTATTCCATTCATAGTGACCCTGTGTGAAAGCAGAAATGCCAGTAGTGTCTGATGCTGTGTTCATGCAGTACATTGCTAAGGCTTCTACTGAGCTGCTAGGTAGGCTCGAACCATCAGACTTCTAGGTAGGAGCCAATTACTTACCCACTGCACCACCAAGTTTCCTTAATAATGTTAGTTTTTTGAAAAACACCACCACTGCCCTCGAGTGGATTCTGACTCACATTGGCCTTCCATCAGGTGGCCAAGGCTGTAACTCTTTTTGTGAGGGGTCCTTCTCCCTTCGAGAGGCTGGTGCATTCCAACAACTGACATTTTGGTTAATGGTCACACACGTATGTGCTACCTGTCAGAACACTTTAATAACTGTCATCCTTTATTGATTATTTACTTTGTGTACAGGGTTCTGAGCCAGGATGAGCACGTTATTTGGTCTTTGCCGTGGCCTGTCAGAAGGACCTGTTGTCATGCCCATTTTGGGGAAGAGAAAGCTGAGGCACAGGGTGGTTATGCAGGTTGTCACCTTGCTTGAGGAGCATGTCCAGTGCCAAGCCCTTTAGACCAGGTAGCAGCATCTGGTGAGAGCTCAGGTGGCGTGTGGGGCTGAAAGGGAGAAAGGAGGGGACTGTGCCTGGCCCTTACTGTTAGCCCCCAGTCCTGCAACTTGGACGACCTGTGGCAGCTGAACACAGGCTCACCCTGCAGCGCAGCTCATGGAACACCTTTGAGCCCTGCACTGTGTGCCCAGTGCTGAAGCAGTTATGTCTATTTCAGCCGAGGGATGGTGGTATGTGGGAGACACAATCAAGGTTATGATGACTCTTGCAGAGAGACTTCAGTGTTCTGTCTGGGACAAAGGATTCCTTGAGTGGAGTCCTTAAAGAAAATGCAGCAATGGAGTGTAGGGGGGCATTCTGGGCAGAGGACCCAGCCTGGCAGAGGCTCACAGGCTTGAAAGTGCAGTGTGTATTCAGTGTGGCTGCAAAGAGAGGGCACATGTTGGGTGAGGGTGGAGGGAAGAGATGAGCTGGGACTGGATTTCATTTCCTTCCTTATCTGGCCTGACTCTGGGCAGGGTCTGCCTGCTTGCAATTCTTGGTTGACTGCCTGCTCAAGCCAGGTGGCTACCCTCAGCTTCTAAAGCAGAGGGTGATACTCTAGACTGGTCCTATGTTCTCGTGAGCTGGTGTTGAGTTGCCTCCAGCTGGTGGCCACTTTATGTATAACAAGGAAATGTTGCCCGGCCATGCACTGTCTTGTGATGGATGGTATGTTTGAATCCTTTGTTTTGATACTCTGCCGGTCCATCTCATTAAGGGGTTATTTCTTTGTCACTTATTCTTTTTACCAACAATGATGCTCTTCTTTCCAGCAAATAGTCTTTCCTGGTGTGTACAAAGTAATTAATTGGTCAACGAAACCTATGCAGAGCCCTTCCTTTATCCTCCCCAATTTTGCAGTTGAGGAAATGGAGACATTTCAACTCTGCAAGGAAGATGTGACCAGGACAGGGTATCCCTGCTGGAGAGATGCAAAGCAGGAACTAGAACCCAAGTCTCTCTAAATTCAGAACTCTCTCCTCAAACCTGGATAGTGGTGCTTTTCAGACAAGAATCTAAGGAAAGAAAAGCTCAGGATTCTCTTCACACCAGAGATGCTTTGGATCTGAGAAAGACTGAAAGTTTTGTTACTTTGTGAAGATCCCAACTTTCTCCTGCAGGGAAGGGCAGACCCATCTGAGGGGAGGATTGGTAGAATTATCAGTGGAGACTACACTTGGGAGGGGGTGTTTCTCTGGAACATTCTCTAATCTGTCAAGTGTCAACATGAAGCTGCCTCCCCCACAGAGCCTCTTTGCTGCCATTCATTCACCTGATCTCGTGCTTTGGTTTTCCACTAAACCCGCTACTGTCTGCTCCGACTCACAGGAACCCTTTAAGACAGAGTAGAACTGCCCCACAGGGTGGCCAAAGCTGTAAGTCTTGATGGAAGCAGATTGCCACATCTTTCTCTCTACAAGTTCCAGCTCATGAACTTTTGGTTAGCCGCTGAGTACTTTAACCACCTCACCACTAGTGCTCCCTAAGGGGCTTGTGGGTCTTAATTCACAAAAAGGGACAACATCTTACAGTTACAATATGTCATTAATCCATTGGGCAAAATATGCCAGACTCTGACTTAAAGGAATCAGAGCTCTGACTCTCCACTGAGTTTTCAGAGACTATAAATTGCATAGGAGGAGATCATCCATCTTTCTCCCAAGGAGAGGCTAATGGATTCAAACCGCCAGTCTTTGGGTTGACAGTGCAACTTCTTACCCACTAGGCTACACATCAAAATTGCAATGAGATGTCACTTTGCCTTCATCCAACTCATTACCCGGCTAGTCTTCCATTGGTTTTCCCAGTCTATACATTACATGGAAGGTGACTGGCCATCTTTCTTCCTCAGAGCAGCTGGTGAATGTGAACTTTGAGAGAGGTATGTCCTTTCGCCTGGCAGCCCACAGCTCTTTAAGAACTCTGTGACCAGAGCTCTTTACTTAAAGGGATACCAAATCGAAAACCAAACCCATTGCCTTAAGAGGATTCTGACTCATAGCAAGCCTAAAGAGCAAGCAGAGCTACTCAACAGGGTTTCCAATGTGGTTAATCTTTATATAAACGACTGCTTCATCTTTCTCCTGAGGATGAGCTGGTAGATGCAAATCACAGAACTTTCTGCAGCAGCCCAACACTTAATCCGCTATGCCACCAGGGCTCCTTGCAAGGATATGTCAGTGAACAAATAGGACAAAACTCCCTCCCCTCACAAGGCTTCTATTATGATGGGGAAAGCAATGAATAGACCTAATGAAGATGTAAATACTGTATGTGTCAATGGCAATGGGCTCTGTGGAGAAAAACAATGCAGGGAAGGTGATAGGAGGCAATATCCTTGGGGCTCCATTGCCAAGAGGACTCTGACTTTTTACCTTAGAAGAATAATTGCGATTTTGACCAGGGCACTATATGCCAGACACTGTGGTTGAGGCTTTTCAAATCTTATTTCTAACCTTATGGAGCTCTGGTGGCCTAGTGGTAAGAATTTGCGCTGCAAGCCCAAAGGCACGCAGTTCAAATCAACCAGCTGCTCCATTTGAGAAGGATTCTTACTGCCTCTGAAAACCCACTAGAGGGTCAGCTATGAGTTTGTTCCAAATCAACAGCACACAATAACAATCTTCACAACCCTGCAGAGCAGCTCACATCCCCCTTTTATGGATGAGGAAATTGAGGCCTTGACATTAATCTAAAGCTTCAACCAGCATTGAAACCTGGCTGTGTGATTACTGAGGGGAAATGGCTCTAAGGGATATAGGTTATGTGCATGGACCCTAGAAAGCCCCAAGTCCTGGGGAGCTCTGGTGGCCTAGTGGCAAGAAGCTGCACTGCAATCCCAGAGGTACACAGTTCGAATTCACCAGATGCTCTGCTGGAGAAGGAGAGGCAATCTCCTCCTGTACCAGTCAGATCTGATTTGACTGTACACACACACACACACACACACTAAAATAAAATAAAAAAAAGCCACAAGTCCCTCTCTTGCACTTAAAAGGCCATATGGAATTGATCTGGAAAACAAACTGCATAGCACACCTGTCTCCTCATCATTCATTAATTTTCCCTGACAAGACACTGGTCACTTGTCACCGAGGGGCTGGGCAGTCACATTAACCAGGACGTGGGCTTGACTCTGTAACAATGTGCAAAGAGTCAGCAAATCTTGGTCTCCTAAGCTATTGTGTCTGAGCCTTTCTGCAGGAGGGATAGGCATCCCTTAGTGCTGGCGGTCATTAGTGTCACTCATGGAAGCAGAATTTTGTGGATTCTGCCTTGTGCCTGGTCCTGAGCCTGCTGTGAGCAGTAATTACATCTGCAAAGACCTTATTTCCGAACAAGATTACACTCAGGTGCTGAGTAGACCTGAATTTTCAGGGGATATTTTTCAGCTGCTTACCGTGACCCGAGAGCCTGCTGTTGCCTTTAGCAGGGGGTGGGCAGGGGGAAATGCTCATGTTTCTCCTTTGTGAGGATTTGAGATGAAAGTGCAGTGATGAGGGGTGCTGAGAGAGACCATGGAGAAGGCAAAGAGGTGGGATCCATGGGGGAGGCAAGAGCTGGCAAAGATTTCAGGATGTGGAGAGACGGTGAAGTAGAGGGTTGGCCTGCACAGGCCCCCTCTGTCCCTGCCTGGGACTGACAAGCAGCAGGTAGCCCGGAAAATCCTGGCGCCCTTCTGCACCAGGCAGTGCTCTGGAAAAGGTAGTTACTGACTCCAAGCAGGAGAACCTTCACCAAACCGGTTGAAGCTCAATTTCTATTCATAGCGACCCCATGTGTGGAAAGTAAAACTCCACTACTTTTGGTTTTCAAGACCGAGATCTTTAAGAAACAGATCACCAGGCTGGGTGGCTTTGAAACACCCAGGAGGAGATTACCCATCTTCCTCCTATGAAGCAGCTGGTAGATTTGAGCCCCCTGCTTTTGGGCTGCCAGTGTAACTCTTTACACACTTGGATAACAGAGTCCTTTGGTTAGCAGGTCAATAATCAAGTGTTTAACTGTATACACCACCCAGGGACGCATCCTTCTCAAGGGAATGTCTATCATTACTCTCTTCTAGAAAGTAACTTTGAGGGAGGGACCATATGGTGGGCACCTTTGAGGGGGTGAGGGACACGCACCAGGGCTGCTGCACCCCGGGGTTCAGAGCCTGGCAGAGTCTTGGAGTGGACATGCAAGGCGTTGGTAAGGAACAGCAGCCTCCCTGACCTTAAGTCACCCCTGCACCCCACTTCTAGCAAGAAGACCCTCCCTTGGAAATGCTCCAGGGCAGGGGAGTACTGTCCATTTTGCTGCTCTGCAGCTTCCTTTTTCTGCAGTGCTGAGAACCCCATTCCTTATCTCTCACCCCTTTTCCTCCTCCAGTGCTTCCTCTGGAGAGGCACCTCCACGAGGCTGCCCGCTGCAACAACGTCGGGAGGATGAAGAAGCTGATTGAGAGGAGAGTTAACGTCCGGGCCAGAAACCACGTGTGTATAATTGGGGCCATTCTCCAACCCCCAGACAGTACCATGGGGACGCTGCCAGGCAGCCAGGAGAGTTCACCGAGCCAGAGGCAGGAGCACTTGCTTGTCCTGAGGCACCTCTTGGTCGGTTCAAAACCACCAGCCTAGCTCAGAGTAGTCAGGGAAGAGCGTCACTCAAGGTCAGGATTCTAAGTCACCTTCTTTCCCCGAAAAAAGAAAATCCAAACCAAACCAAACCCAAAATGTTTCCAACATCTTGTTGCTGTTGAGTCAATTCCAACCCATGGCAACTTTATAACAGAACAGAGCTGAGCTCCCTAGAATTTTCTTGGGCTGCTAGGAAAACAAACAGATTTGTCCTGGAAAGGGTTAAACCGGGTGGCTCCTTGGAGGCAAGGATTCTGAGGCTCCGTCTAACTTACTTTGGATATGTAGTGAGGAGAGACCGGTCCTTGGAGAGGGACATCATGCTTGGGAGGGTGGAGGGACGGCGCAGGAGAGGAAGGCCCTCTATGAGGTGGATTGATTCAGTGACTGGGATAATTGGGATGGGAGTGTCAGAGACAGTGCGATTGGCACAGGACAGAGCGGAGTTTAGGGCTGTTGTACATAGGGTCGCTATGAGTTGCAGGCGACTCGATGGCACATAACAACAACAACAACAACAACAACAACAACAATCTTGGGGCATCATGCTGGGAAAGGTGGAAGGTCAGAGAAAGAGAAACCTTCAACAAGATGAATTGACACAGTGACCGTAACAGTGGGCTTAAGTGTGACAGAGATCATGAAGGTGGCACAGGATAGGACAGGATTCAGCTCTATTGTTTACAGGATGCTATGAGTCATAGTCTACCCGTTGGCATTCAACAACAAAACAATCTTTCTAGAAGCAGTTTGCCGGCTTTTTCTTCTAGGACTTCTCTGAGTGGATTCCAGCTGCCAGTTAGCAGATGAACACAAACCATTTGTGTCACCCAGGAACCAATAATTCCAAGCCAGGCTTTTAAGATCTGAATGGCATGCCCAAGGAGCAAAGGTTAAAGCCAAGAGGCAGGAGGCCAAAGGTCAAGAGTCTGAGGCCCATGGATAAAACAGCCAGAAGGATGGAAGGAACAATGGTTAACAAGGAAGGCATGTGATTTGCCTGGGATCACATAGCCGATCAGTGTTTCTTTCATCAGCCCTTAACTAGAGGGAAACTGGTGGAGGGGGGAGACTAGTTCCCTCCAGGGCCTTGTGAGAGTCAGATCATGAGGCCTCTTCAGGCCTGCTCTGAGGGAAAGAGAGGACAGACCCAGGCACTCAGGTGCCCTTGGAATTTGGAAAATAAGATTAGTCTGTTGAGGTCCTAGAATTCTAAATCATTCCCAGGTGGCTAATTTGTTTCCTGGTCATGAGAAGAGGGATGAAATGGATCAGAGGAAGCAGGCCTACACTCAGGAGAAAGCATGAAGAGGTTCTGTTTGCAGGAAGCATGTGCTCACCACTGCCCCTTGACACTGCCCTTCCACCACAGCCCCCACCACAGCTGTCTCCCACTGCAGTCCCTCACCATTCACTGTCCCTCAACACAGCCCCTCACCACAGCTCTACACTGTAGCACCTAATCACAGCCCCTCTCCACTGCCCCACACTGTAACCCCTCTCTACAGCCCCACACTATAGCCCCTCACCATAACTCTATACTGTAACCCCTCACTACAGCCCCACACTATAGCCCCTCACCATAACTCTATACTGTAACCCCTCACTACAGCCCCACACTGTAACCCCTCACCATAACTCTACACTGTAACCCCTCACTACAGCCCCACACTGTAGCTCCTCACCACAGCCCTACAGTGTAACCCCTCACTACAGCCCCACACTATAGCCCCTCACCATAACTCTACACTGTAACCCCTCACCACAACCTCACACTCTGGCCCCTCATCACTACCGCATTCAACAGCCCCTTCTCCTAGCTTGTAGAAGAGTATCTGTTGAGTGGAGTGAGGGACAGCACTGGATTCGAGGTTTCCATGTCTAACTTATTTCCTTATTTCAGAATAAATGCTAAACACTTGGCACAGAGTGACTAAGGCCGGCTGGTCACAGCAGGATGGAGGATGCAGTTCTCACAACTCAGACTGCTCTCGGCCAGGGCAGGGGTGTGAGAGGGAGAAAGGTCACCCTGTTGTGGGAGGCCAGGAGGGCCACATGCCTCATCCAGGATGAGATACTAAGCGGTGCTTGGTGACTGAGATGTTGACACACTAATGACAGAGCCAGCCAAAGGCTCCTTCATCCTGCAGAACAACTGCCCCAGCAGGGGAGGAGGGGAGCTTGGGGGAGGTGGGCTAGTCAGCCAGTGCACCTGACAGGTGTCCTCTCCCTCCGTTCAGGTGGGCAGGGTGGCGCTGCACTGGGCCGCAGGTGCAGGCCACGAGGAGGCTGTGCGGCTGCTCTTGGAGCATGGGGCTGCGGCGGACGATGAGGATGCGGTATGAACCCCTTAGCAGGCGTGCATGCCTCTGTGTGCCTGTGTGTGACTGTGATGGGGGTCTGAGATAGCTTACTGGTGGGTTGCTGAGCCGGCTGTCCGTCTTTGCTGAGGTTGCTGTTGATAGGCTGACAGGTGCAGGTGGGCGGGGAGTCAGGTTTCAGGGCCAGTGACATTGCACTAATCTTATTTCGCCTTTCCCCCCCCCCCCCCGCCCCGGATTTATGACTGAATAAGGATCACTCCATTTTCAAGGGCTTTTCAGTTCTCAGAGTCTTTTCAGCCCCTCGTGATACCATGTGACAAGAGGAAGAGAAACAGGCTGTAGGAGAAAATTGGGTGAATTGAGAAGGGCTGATTATTAAAGTCACCAGGGGAAAAAAGAATCTTTCATGATAAGCCACAGGGTTCAGCCCTGGCTAACGCTTTCATCAACAACTTGCACAAAGACTAACAGCCTTGCTTAGCCAGAGAGCAGCTGTCGAGTCAGTTCTGATTTAAGACGCCCTTTCTCTGGGTTTCTGAAGGGGTCAGTCTTTATAGGAGGAGATCACTTTCTCTTTCTCCCTCTAAGTGACTGATAGGTTTGGACCTTTAAGTTAGCAGCTCAACACATAACAAACCCACTATACCACCAGGGCTTCTTTAAAAAATAACAAAATTCAGCTCGTTGAAATGGACTCGTGGATGAGATTACCCATCTTTCTCCCTTGGATTAGCTGTTGAATTAGAACTGCCTGCCTTTGCCATGGTAGCACAACTCCTTACCCACCAGGCCACCAGAGCTTCTGGAGAAGTGGTAACAAGAATGACAAGGTCTATAGAATTATCCTCGCAAGGATTACCTCCGGAGGAGCCAAAGGATTGACTCTGACAGTGACATTTGACAGGGATTAAGGGTCTAAATTTAGTTTGTAAAAATTACAGACTTCCCTTGGTCATTGCCCTTGCCTTGGGCCTCAGTCGATGCTCACCCCTTGCTTTTTTCAATGCTATTTTTTTCTTCTTAACTCCCCCGTACCTGCCTTCACATTCCAGCTAATTCCTTCTGAGGCAAAGCAGTGAAATGCTCTCTCTGGATATTCAAGTGCATGCTGATTAGCCACTTCTTCTTGGAGTTCACCTTTTAGACTGACCACTTGTCAAGGCTTCATCTGAAAAGAATTATTCCTTCTCAGAAATTTTCCGAGTCCAGCTCCTGAAAGCATGTTTCCTGGGGCCCCTCCCAGAACCTGGAGTCTTTCATGGAGCCAAAGGAGAGGCAGGTGTGATCTGGGTTGCTGTGGGTGGGCTGCTCTCCCCGACAGAAGTCCAGACTATGATTCAGATGAAGGATTAAGAGTTAGCCAACTTTGTCCTGTAGACCCCCCCTTTAAGCCCAGGTGGCTTGCAGTGACTGAGGCTGGGGGCAGGTCTGGAGTGCCCCAAACCCTAGAACTCTCCTTGTCATGGGCTCTGTGCTACTCTCACCTGAGCTTGGGAGTGTGTGTTCATTGCAGGCCAAATTGTCACACCTGTAGGAAGAGGCCCCGACCCAGCTGAATGAAGTTGTACTGAAGGCCTTTGGCCTCACCTGGAAACGTGGCTCTGTTTCTTCTGGAAAATTTGTTCAACTTTATGAACACTCAGCCAGATATTTGATAGACACTTTTGGGTACCCATCAAATCCTGGGGTTTGGTAATACAGACTCTAAGCTAGAGATGGCATTGGTCCCCAGACCCTGTCTGAATCAACTATGTTCACACAGAGACAGACCGAAAACTCTTCCAAGCAGAGTGGCTGCTTGCTGTTGCATCCTGGGAGGTGAGTTTGGAGGCCTGATTATGCTTTTCCCAGAGAAGAGAAGACTCAGGGACCTAGGTCATGAAGGGGCTTTGTACCCATGAGCCTTTGCACTTGATAAGAAAGGGCATCCATACACAAGTGATGGGCACAGGGTATAGTTTCTGTTGCCTCAAAGTGTTGGTGGGATGGGAATTTGCAGGACTCAGATTTCAGTGTAACAAGAGGAAGAACTTCCTTTCAGTTAGCAATGTTGAAAAGCACCGGGACATCCATTGAAGTGTTGAAATACTACTCTGGACACGTGGATTCAGCTATGTGCCTTGAGGATGGATATTCCTTAGGAAATGAAAGCAGTTTCTTCTCAAATGGGTTACCAGCCCTTCCATGAAGTTGGTGGGGAAAGTATATTTGTGGTGAATATTCTGAAATTGTTTCTTTATAAGTTCTTGGGTTTAAAAAGGCCTTTCTTTGTGATGTGATTGTGAGAGTATGTGGCAGCTGTTTTAAGAGCTTAATTGCGGGGAAATAAGTTGGCAATGATACATCATCCTTTCTATATGTATATAAAATCCCTAGCCTTTCTATTCTAAAGCGTGGAGCTCTGTATACTGTGTGGCCCCGATGCTCCCTTGTGGCTGAGTGATTTTACCCTGTGAACTCAGCTGGCACAGCCACCCCTCCCACATCCTCCTCACCTCCTGTGCCCTCTCCCCTAGTTTGGAATGAACGCGCTTCTCCTGTCTGCCTGGTTCGGTCACTTACGGGTCCTCCAGATCCTGGTCAACTCGGGGGCCAAGATCCACTGTGAGAACAAGGTAAGGTTCCAGCCAGCAGCCCCTCTACCCCTATCTACCTCCTTCCTGTCCTCCCCCCAGGTTTGTGCCCCGCTTCCCCTATTCGTCACTACCTGCTGCCCCAACTCCATTTCCGCTCCCACTTATCCCTTCCTACTCCCCCCCCAACCCCTGCCTCACTTGCTTCAGTTCTCTGAGATCCTATTGAGCCCCCAGCTGAGCTCAGAGCTGAGGAGCTGTGTTTTCCAGATGTTTCCATGGAACCTAGGAGAGGGCTTGGTACCCTGTTTTCTGATGTCATACCCTCCTACCCTTTACTACTCAGTAATCTTGGAACAACAGTCTTGGGACCTCTGGTCAATCCTCTGTTTACAAAAGAAGAATCAAAGGAAAACCCTCAGAGGGTAAAGTTGTTGAATCTTTTTTTCCCTTTAAAAAATTTTGTAAATTTTAAAAAATTGTAAAAATACAAACCACTTCATAAATAACATGCCTCCAGAAACCCTATGAACTTTGATAAATATCAATAGTTGTTGGCTTCAAGCCTTCTACATAGGGTTCATAGGGTTGCTATGAGCCATGATCCACTCAAAGGCAATCAACAACAACAACAAAACTATAAAACTCATGTGTATTGTGTTTCATTCTTATACACTGTGTTTCACACTTTCCTTCATTCACATTGTATTTTATATGATCATTCTTACACATTGTGTTTTATAAAATGAATCACCGTTGATCTATGCCTACTCCTCCCTCGTCTTTTCAGGTCCCCATTGGATCTCTCCTAATTCCTTCACCCCCTGCCCCTCTGCCCACTAACTCTGTCATCCTAGTGACCCCCCCTTTCTCCTCATGCCCCTTCCCCTTCCCCTCTAGACTTTTATACACATCTTTCTAGTTATCCTTCCTTTTTTCTATTTTATTTGAGTAAAAGTTTATGAATCATATTGCATTTTTATTCAATTATTCAAAGAAATTTTGTTTTATAACATTAATTGCAATTGATTCATGTAGTTAATGGCAATGCCTTATCAAACTCTTATTATATATTACCTTTCCCTTTACCCAACTTATATATATTCTATATATTAGTTTTTGGACCACTCTTCTTTCCCCCTGTTAATCCTCTGAGATTTGTTCTGTATGTAAGGCTGCCCCATATGGTTTACTCGGCTGTCATCTTTAAGGAAGCAGATTACCAGGCTTTTCTTCTGTGGAACCGCTGTGTGGGTTTTCACCACACACTCCTTTTGATTAGCAGCCAAACTCTAACCACTGGGCTTCCAGGGCTCCTCGGAGGGTGGTTAGGAAGATAAGCTGAGAGGAGAGGATCATCCTGCCAGGTCCTGTCCTTCTCATGGCCAGTGTGGAAAGGCAGGAGGAGCATAAGCACCCTGTACCCTGACACTGGTGGGTCCAATGGAACCAGAAGAGTCTTTTAAGGGAAAGGAAGAGAAGAGTGAACCCTGAAAATGTGAAGCCAGAAGCTGAGGTCAGAATTGATGAAGGGTGGTGAACCAAGGAAAGCTCTTCAATTTGGAAAAGGCAAAGAAGCAGATTCTCCACTACAACCTCAACACGCACGGCAGACTGCCCACCCATCTTAGACTTTGATCTTCAGAACTGTGCAATCATGTTCTCGTTGCCTTTAGATGCTGTTGAGCTGGCTCCTACTCATGGTGACTCAGTGTCCAGCAGACAAAGCCCAGCTCAGAACTGCACCATGCTCATTCGACGCTGGGCTTGAGTGTGCCCCTGCAGCCATGGTGTCAATAGACCAGTGCAGTTTATTACAAAAGTGACAGGAAGCCAATATGCTGGTGTATCAGCTCACATTATTTCTGTGACATTTAAGAACATTATTCTGAAAAGTGGTCCATAGGTTTCTTCAGATCCTGAAAGGGGCCATGCTCTATGCCATTGTTAGGATCTTGCTGGTGGTGGTAGCAAGTCTATGACAGACTCTGAGTGAGGGTCACAGCATGTGACTGCAGTGGGGGGATGAAGGTCCAAATACCCTGGTTTTGCACACACTGGAATGAGCATGGCCAGTGCTGACCTCCCCCAGAAGCTGTAGCCAGTCATACTCCCGAGATGGCCATATTTAGGTCAACCAGGACCATGGCCAGGTTTACTTACTTCTTCCTCCTTAGTCCTAATGCTTCCCCTTGTCCCTGGCATTTCACTGGCTTTCTCTTATCAGCTATTGGTGAGATTTTTTTCATCTTGTTGCTGTTAGTTGTTGCCTATTGATTTAATACATGGTGGCCCCCTTTATGCAGAGTAGAGCTGCCCCACAGGGGTTTCAGAGCAGTGACCTCTTGGAAGCAGGTCAGTTGCCTTCCAACGTACCTCTGGGTGGTTTCAAACTGCCAGACTTTTGGCTAGTAATCAAGTGCTTAACGATTTACGCCACTCAAACATTTGTGATGTTTAAAGCTGAATCTTCAAAGTTTGAGAGTCACTGCCTTCCTGTGTGTACCTCCTTCAGATAAGTGTGTTAGGACTTGTCTCTTTCCCTCGAATGGGGCAGAGCAGGCTGGAGAGGGAACTTAATCAGAGAGGGGACAACAAACTGGTACATTGGGGGCGGGGGAAGGAGGCATCTAAGGTGAAATTTCAAAGTGGCACAAAGAGCTGCTTGATGGTCCTAACTACCAAGAAGCTTCAGTTTTGAATTTACCAGCAGTATTCACAAGTATTGATTGAGCACCTATTGTGTGTGCTGCCTGTGCTGTGAAGGTTACAAATCTGCTCTGTTAGGTTACAAACTGGCTCTGGGTCTAAGAGAACTGCTTCTTACCTGCCCTCCCCACCAGGCCACCTTCTTCCTACTCCCTGGAGAGCATGTCTGCTTTCAGTCCTTCTCTGACGCTGGATGGTCAGGGGGTCACTGCTGGTGACACATGTGGGGTACTTTTTCACCTGCTTCCTCACTTGTAGGGAGGTAGGTGCCGACTACCTGCATAGCAGTGTTTTGAGGGTATATTCTGGGACATTGTTAGTGCTGTCCGGCCTCTCTTGAGTCTTTGAATACTTTTTTAGTTTATATCTTTCATGTTGATGATGCTGCCCAGTTCTTCCATCTACCTCAGAGGCAATCAGACATTGCCATTTTGCTTTGATTTATGTGCAAATTGAGGAGTGGTGGTACCGCACCCAAGATCACAGAGCTATGGTTTGAATTCTGGTGTCTTGACCCGCCCGCAGCCTCTATGAGATTGAGTGAGCTCCATGGTTATCTCAGGAGGCCCATCTGCCATGTACCACATTGCTTCTGTGGGGAAGCTGCATTCTGGGTCCCAAATACCAAATGTTTTGTTGACAGCGGGGTTGTGAGAAGGATCACCCTTCCCAGATAGCAGGGACCACCCTGGGTTTGCTTTCAGGACGGCCTGACCTTACTGCACTGTGCAGCCCAAAAAGGCCACGTGCTGGTGCTGGCCTACATCATGGAAGACCTGGAGAACGTGGCCCTGGACCGTGCCGACAAGGTGAGAGCTGCCCTCAGCTTATTCTTCCTTCCCACTTGGCCTGAGGCTCTGTGGTCTCTCCTGCCCCCCATTTCCCTCATTCCTTTAATATATCTTTGGATGAGCTATGAGTAATGAAAACCCACTAGAGGTTCAGCTGTGGATAGATTCTGACTTGATGGCATAACAATGTGTAATGCAGAGCAGGGCCTGCCTTGTGGAGCTCCTTATCTGGGGTGCACATGTACCGGACACAAGAACACAGCCCCTCCCTATGGAGAGGTCCTGGCCAAGGACACATCAGGTTCAGAGAAAGGGGGACCCTGTTCTGTTTCCTGGAGGAGGTGGCATTTGGTGACTGACTTGGATTTTGTGGGTAAGATTGGGAAATGGGGAATTTCATGTGAAGGGATGCACATTGCCAGAGCCTTTGAGGTGGAAAGGGAGTGTGTGTTCAGGTGGGTTTTGGAATGCTCTTGAAGATGAGGGTCAGAGAGTGGTGATCATGGCATTTAGACTCAGGAGTCTATCCTTTAAGGAGTCGGCAGGAAGGCCCTACCAAGTGACTGCTTTGGAAATGGGGTCTGAGCTTTCCAGAGTGTGGAGTGAGGGGAGTAGTGGCCAAGGCAGGAGAGGCCACTGTGAGCCAAGCTGATGTGCCTGGAGTGGACGCCAGGTGGTCAGGGTGGGGTGCGCATGCTCCAGGATGCTCTCACTGTCTTTCCCTTTTCGGCAGCTGGGGAGGACCGCATTTCACTGGGCCGCTGAGCGCGGGCAGCTGGATGCTCTGGACTTCCTCGTGGGCTCTGGCTGTGACCACAGTGTCAAAGACAAGGTATGGCTGTGATCTCAGCTCTCCTGATAGAGTGTAGAAGCCCCTGCCACCTTCCTGGTGCTGACACATCACCTGTGCTGGAGGGGTGAGTGGGATGTCTAATGTCCATCCAGGAACATTTTATGAGTACTCGCTGTGGGTCAGCCCTGTTTCTCTGGTTGGGGATCCAAAGATGCCCAAGAAACTTAGCTCCAGCTTCCTAGTAAAGCACTGATGTCAGGTGGGATCTAGGCCAGCACGTCTGAGCAGCTTAGAGGCTGCCTGGACTGGGGATGTCTCAAGCTGGGGAGATTCTCTGGGCGTGAAGATAGTTAACTCACCCCAAGGTGCCTCAGAAGGAAGCCCTGCTGATTTGCTTCTGAAAGTTCACAGCTATGGAAACCCTGTGGGATCATAGTGAGTTGACCCAACTTGAAGGCAACTGAGTGGGGTTTTGTTTGTTTGTTTGTTTTGTTTTTTTAATTGTTGGCAGTTGAGGGCAGAATCAGGGGAATAGATGCCTCTTGGTGGTGGTTTTCTCTGAAAGGTAGTGCTCCTTTACGGTTATAATGCCCTGGTGGTATAGTATGTATGGAGTTGCGCTGTTAACCCTAATGGTGACACCTCCTGGCATTTCGAATCCAACAACTGCTCTATTGGAGAAAGATGGACAATCTTCTCCTGTGTGATTTACAGCCTCTGAAAACCCTCTGGAGGGGGAGCTCTAACTAAGTTGGTTCAGGATCAGTGTCAATGAATGAGTAAGAGGAGTTCTAGTTAACTCAGCTGCTAACTGAACCCACCAGCTGTCCACAGGAGAATGATGTGGAAGATACATAAAGATTACAGCCCTTACGCACACCAATATAAAAAGATATAAATACAAGAAGACCACAGCCTTGGAAACTGGAGTGTGCTCTGTCCTGTAGGGTCACCAGGAGGCAGAATTGACTTGATGGAAGTGGGCATGGGTTTTGGTTTTTCTCTAGTAATGGAGACACAGTATATACCATATATGGCTGCTAAGGAAATCGTTGGTGGTTCAAATCCACCCGCTGCTCTATGGGAGAAAGATGGGCAGTCTCCTCCCATAAAGATTTACAGCCTTGGAAACTGGATGGAATATAATTATAAGCCATAATGGACTTAGTAATGGTGGATTTGGTTTGAATTTATAATTACAGCAATTATAGGGTGGAAGCATCAAGAAAGGAGCCGTTCCCTTAGAGTGGCGAGAGCTTGAAAGCAGAATTTCACTGGGCTGAGAGGGTACTGGAAGGGACTAGCCTGTGATGACTCATATCAATGGACCATTGTCATTCAGTGGCTACAATAAGTATTTTGCAGCGGATTCCAAGTGATACTTCTAAAAAAAAGGATGATAATGGCCAGAGTCGAAAAAGTTCTATTTGTAAAGCAGTGACAGAGTGCTTACGACAAATGGCTCATACGGAGAGCCACTGAGCTTAGAAGTAGAAGATGTCTTCATCAGGGGTTAGAGAGCCACTCAGGGGTTAGCTACTTCTCTTCATTTTACAGATGTGAAAACTGAGGTCCAGAGAGGGTGTGCATTAGCTAGAGTCACACAACAAGACAAAGGAAGAACCCCCACCTTTGATTCAGACATTGCTCTTTAGGACCATGAGAGCCACCCCAAAATACTACTGCATTGCCAAACTAAAAACAAATCCAGGTAAGGGATAGTTGTTGTTGTTAGAGGGCACCACGTTGGCAATGGCTCATAGCGACCCTCTGAAGAACAGGTCTCAATTTTGCCCTGTTCTGTGCCATCCTCATGGTCTCTGTCATGTTGAAGTCCATTATGGTAGTTGCTGTGTCAGTCCATCTTGTGGAGAGTTTTCCCCTCTTCCCCCAACCCTCTACCTTTCTATGGAATTTATCTTGCAGTATGGCTTTTCTAGCATTATTTGAATGTGGATGACTGACCATGTGGCTGGGTGGGACTGTGAAAATGGGGTGTGTTGGCTTATTCATAAAGACATTGGTTATCTATCATTCCACAAGGAGATTAGCCAGTCTCAACAATTTACAAGAGGACTGGATAGTCTAGCCAATAAATGGAAGAGCTCGCGGTACAGAGAGTGAGATCCTCACCTACAGAAAAAGAAGAAGGGAATGTATAACACACTTTGAGACAGAAGTAGTAGCAGCCAGGCTGAACTAGAGACCTGAGATTGTTATGTGAGATGAGACCTTGAGGCGGGTGAGGAGAGAAGCCAGTATTGGCAGGACCGAGAACTTGCAAACTACTGGTCTGAAGGCTTGATGTTGAGGTGCCTGTATGCACATTTTGAGAGCTGCCTTGACTCTATATTCTGTTATTAATTTGGATTATAAACTTTTGGCTTCCCCAAGATGGCTCTGTGTGGTTTTTGAGCTATCACATCAGACTTTGAAGCCAGTAAAGCAGTAATATTGGGGTTGAGATGAGTAGAGAGAGATATGGGAGTGTGGGGGGACATGGCTGACCTCATGGGAATAGGTTTTGTGTTACTGATACTGTGGAAGGGGACAGGTGCCCTGTGTGAAGTTGGTAAAGGTCAGACATGGCCATCCCCACATGGCCCTTGCTCTTTTTTTGCTTTCCCAGCATGATATCTCTCTCCAAGAACTGGTTCCTCCTGAAAAAGTGCCCAACGTAAGTGAAATGACGTTTTCTTCCTTCTCCATGAGGGACAGTTTGATTGCACTTCCTTCAAAATAGATTTGTTTGCTCTTTTGATAGTCCATGGGATTTCAACACTCTTCTCTACTGCCACAATTTAAAGACATTTGTTCTTCTTTGTCATCTTTATTCATTGTCCAACTTTCAGATGCATGCAAAACAATTTAAAATACCAAGGCTTGGATCTGGCACATCTTGGTCTTTAAACTGATATCTTTGCTCTTTAGAAGTTGAGAGAGCTCCTTGGCAGAAGTTCCCCAATGCAAAACGTCTTTTGATTTCTTGACTCATAACAATGGGTAGAGTGAATGTTAATAAAATAGATATTTGGCTGAGTTTGAACCAGCATTCTAAAGCTTTGCCCTGTGCTCCTCTCCCCTCACCAGGTTACTCCCTTGGGCAAAGATACCTCGAGGTCTACATGGAATCCATCCCCATGCATCTTCTCAGGATAGAAAGGCTGAGTCAGGATCCTGAGTCTGATTGGCTCATTTCAGTCCTTCCTGACACATGAGCAGAGCAGGTGTCTACTCTATGATAGTTATAGGTCAGAAATTGTGGTTACAGAAAAGGATAGATTTACTTAGAAAATTTAAAAAATCACACTCAAGAACCTAATAGAGCAGAGTACCAAAAGCAGAAAATAAGGAGAGTCCAGCTTTAACTACTTTACCCAGAATCTTGAAATTAGAAATTCTGGAAAGAAGCTTTAAAAATTATATGTATGTTCTGATACATACTACAGCCTAGATGAACCTTGAAAACATTGTTAAATAAAATAAATGAGGCACAAGATGAGAAAGACAAGGATTGTATGATCCTGCCTTTATGACATTTCTAAAACAATGTTACAGAAAACAGAGTTTATTAGTGGTTATGAAGAGCTGTGGGGGACAGGAGAGCAGGGAGATGTTACTTAAGGGACACTGAGTTTCTGATTGGGGTGAGAGTTTTGGATAAAGAAGTTTAGAGATACCAGTGATGGTTGCATAACTTTGTAATTGATGCACATTTAAAACTGGTTAATTTTATACAAAGTTTATGTTAAACAGTGAAACTTGTAAGAGCTGGAACGTGACAAGATTGCCTTCTTTTTGTGAATCTCATAGTTTCTCACTTTTGACAGTATCTTAGACTGGGTTCTTGAAGGGAACCAAACCATTTCCACAAAAGGGACAGCTCAGCCATTTATTACTAAGATTCCAGAGCATGTCTTTCTGATATAAATCGCAAGCCGATAAAGAAGACTAGGGAGCTTAAGTGTGCTCTTTGATATGTGAGCACAATGTGAACTTGATGTGCCCTTTATTCAGATAAACTCAGTAGTTTAAAAAAAAAAGGAGCAAAAACAATGAAATGTGCTCTGGTAGACTAGTGCTTAAGGAGCAGCACTGTCAACACAAGGTTCACAGTCTGAATCCACCAGCTGCTTTGAGGGGGAAAGATGGGCATTCTCCTTCTGTGTGATTTATAGCCGTTGAAAACTTGCTGGAGAATCAGCTATGAGTTGATTCTGACTTGACAACATATAACAATAACAAATATCTCTATCTATCATTCTTGGAAAGGTGGAGGGATTATGAAGGAGAGGAAGACTCTCAACCAGGTAGACTGACACAGTGACTGTAGTCAGAGATTGTGAGGATGGCACAGTATAGGAGAGGGTTCAGGTCTGTTGTGCCTAGGGTTGCTATAAATTGTACTCAACTCAATGCAACCTACCAACAGCAACAAATATTATATATATATATTACACACACATACATATGTGTCTATATATGTATATACTATTCAATCATTTATACACATTTTCTTTCATAGCATTAATTACAATACCCACAATGTAATCTTACTTTTACCATGTCCTGTCTGTAGTCCTCATTTCCATTCATCCTTCTGTCCTAGCCCTTCCTGACTTCTGGGCTTTATCTTTTGGCAAATGCTGCCATTTTTGACCTTATATAGTTGATTATTCTAAGGAATCACTTTATAGGCTTGCCTATTTTTTTTGGCTGAAAGTTGAACTGTGGGTATGGGTTTTGTTTCAGGTTTAAAGGGTAACTGAGAGCCATAGTCTTGGGTGTTCTACCACCCTCATCTGACCTTTTCTGTGCATTTGAGTTTTGTTCCACATCTTCCTCGACTCTCTTCATCATCTTCTACTGTGATCCCTTTGAGAGAGGTCAAAAGTGGTAGCCAGGAACCACATAGGTTTTCTGATCTCAGGATCAAGGAAGTTGAGGCTTGAGTGATTCCTTAGACCTTCAGATATTTTATACATCTTTTTAGTTCCATAGAGAGAGATTTGTTTCAAGAAAATAGCCTATGCCATTGT